GAAGAGAAGAGAAGAGAAGAGAAGAGAAGAGAAGAGAAGAGAAGAGATCTTGGCCAAGTTTGATTAGATACCCAAGGAATTTGTCTCCAGTACATAAGTAGATGCAAAAGAGTGAAGTAATAATAATCATAATAGCAAAGTAATGATAATCATAATAATGATACCAATAAGAGAAGGTAGTGGAACAGATGAGAAGGATGATAGTAATACAGTCATACTACATAGGTAAATATACTTAGACATAAGACAGTTTAGGTGTTCAGCCAAGTGATGTCTTGGTGATGTCTATCTAGTTGTCTTGGCATTCAATGCCTTATAGCAGCATCACAAATTGCAATGTAATTTTGTTTATCCAGATCTCCCTCCCTCCCTCCCTTCCTTTCCTTCATGTTTAAACAAGGCAGTCAAAACAACAAGCCTCTGTAACTTCCAGAAATGAAAAACATATAAAACTAATATAATTGAAGAATGAGTATGCCATGAGCAATGGACGTCTTTATGAAATAATTGATAAAGGAAATACTTTCTTACACCCACTGAAACTGTGGGGGACAGATACCTTAGCTGCTTTAGACAGAGACTCTCATTTTAATAAATTTGCATTCTTGCTCAGTAATACCAAATTCTCTTCCCAGCTATGAGAGTCCCACAAATTCAATACATTGAGCTGGAATTCCTAGAATTACCAACTTTGGGCAGCTTTAAGGCACAACGGAAGCGAGCAAAGGATCATTGGCAGTAGAGCTCTTTTAGCGAACTCGTTGAGTCCTAAGAAAGCATCTCTGAGTCACCGAGAATGAGTAGGTTAACTATATAAATTTTCTTTAAAAAATAAAGTCATCGGGAGAAGAACTTCATTTCGAAGACAGAAGAGGGTTATTTGGTTTGTGTGTGTGTGTGTGTGTGTGTGTTTGTTTTGTTTTGTTTTGTTTTTAGTGGATCAACACATTTCCTGGAACGTTATATATCCTTTGCCCTTTTGGTGGGTCCAATAATTGTCTCTTGCTTTACATTACTACTTGTAATTGAATTTACTTGTTATCTGATTTGTTTCAAAATTTGTTTCTTGCTCTTCTTTCATTTTTAATTCAATTTGGCTCATAGGAGACTGTTTTCAAAGTTGAACAATACATCGGTGGCTCTTTTGCGCAGAAATAGGATTCCTAAATTCTTTAATAACTAGCTAAATGTGCTCATCAGTGTCTTTGAATGAGCCCTAGTCGGGTAGTAGTACGGACTGTACTATAGCTTATTATGTTTATCTATGTTTTCCTGCTGTGATTACCTTGTATGTATTGATTGCAGAATTCAGAATGTTTTGCAGCTGGAGCGAAAGAAAGAAGGAGTCTTGTCAAGCAGATATTAGCTTTCAAATGTCACCTTTTAAATTGGCAGCTCTAATAGGGAGCAGTGAATATCTTTTCATTGGTTGAAAGGCCAAATTCATTCTCTGATTCACCACTTGATATGAATCTTCCCAAAGGTTAAATAAATTTATTAACACTGATGTGCAGCAAGATAACAGATAATCAGAGTTGGAAGGGACCTTGTAGGTCATCTAGTCCAACCCCCCGCCCAAGCAGGAGACCCTACACCATTTCTGACAAATGGCAGTCCAATCTCTTCTTGAAAGTCTCAAGTGATATATCAGACCAACCAGAAAATTTAAAACTGCCGCCTTTTTATCAACAAAAATACTACTTTGTACCTCCAGTAATTATGACAATTGGGGGTAGGTGGGAGAAAATTTATAAGGTGTAACTATCTCCCTTTAAAAAAAAATCACTCAATCTTCAATATAACAGATGCCTTGATTAAATTTCAGTGATAGTTGCTCAAAAATAAATACATAATTTATCAAGTTGGTTCATATGTGCTTGAACATTTGTTTTAAGTTGCTTTATGTTGCTCATTTATTTCTTAGATTTATATCACAGCCTAGTAAGTAATGTTTATAACCTCCCTAGTCCAATTTATTCAAGGCATCTATACCTAATTTCCCTCGTCTCTGTGTGTGCAAAATTATGGGGAGTCAGTGAAAGGAAAGGATGAAAACACAGATATGAGCAACCAGAAGGACATGGGGTGAACGAGTCAGCTAACATTTATCTGATAAACAGCCATTTAACCCAAATGAATTTTTTTTAGGAAGAAGTGTTTTCAATCACTCAAAGAAATTCCTCCTTAATTAACTCAGCATAAATGGTGGAAAAGTCTTCTTACAGTTTTCAAGAATTTGTATTAGCCCCTGACTAACATTAAATATATCTTACTGTAATCTGTTGCATTATTTATCTCAACTACCACATGGGCTTTGACACCCTGAAGTTCTTTTCCATATTGTGAGGGGTCTCGTATTAACAAATTCACTTGATCAATTCAGATCTACCTATTCATAAGGACATGTTCTTCTAATGAACACACAGGGGTAAGATAAAGAATGAATCTTATGACTATTATATATTAAATGAATGTTCCACAATTTTCTAGCTCTGCCTAATAAAGTAGGAATAATCAGTAGTTCTTTCTGGCTCCAGTTTTATTCTGGAAAAAGTTTCTTTCAACTTTCTCAACTTTCTCCAACTTCATATGTTATTACATTGTAGAAGGTGAAGAAATACCATCATCTAGAAACATCGGTTGGACATAATGTAGATTCTTCAAAATTTAGCTTTGTGAAGGACAGACTGATAACCTAGAAGTAATCAATCAATCCATCAATCAATTTTTATTTCAGTTTCAGACCAGAACAAAAATTGAAAGCAAATAAAACAGAAGAGGGCATAATTGTGCATGATCATTAGTGGTGATATCATTGATAGGTACCCAAAGTCTGCCTCATTTTATGGACACTTTGACAGAATTTAACTATGTTGAAATAAACTGCTGTTATCATATTGTTATGATAGTAACAATAATAAACAGAAGAGATCCAAATTTAATGGACATTTTGTCAAGTAAGGACTTATAAAATGAGTTGCTTTGAGCAGTGGCAGCATCATAGCCAATGAAGTTTATCCAAAGTGTGATGATTGCTAATTGAAAACTTTTTTCCTTGGGAATAATATTTAAATGTTGACATTCAATGATGTTCAACATTGCAAAATGTTACATATAACATGTACCCTCTATTTGACATTATGTAATATTAAATGTATCTTTGCAGGAAATAATGTGGAGTTCAGCTGCACTGGGATATAAAGCATGCATATCATTAGGAGCAGTATAAAGGTGTAAATCATTGTCAAATGTGTTATAATTAAAAGGTTTGTTTATTGTTGAATTAGTACAACACATTAGATCTCAGACTTTATTATCTGTATTGATTCACATAAAAGGCTGGACATGTTCATCTCACCTATCAGGTTTACAAAAAGAATTGCATGAATATAAATATGGATGGATGGATGGATAGATGGGTAGATGGGTAGATGGATATATAGATGATAGACAGGCAGACCGGCAGACCGACAGACAGACAGACAGATGAGATAAAGAGATGATGGATGGATAGGCTAACATTAGATAACCAAGTCTATCACTTTAGCAAGCAGATAAGAGCAACAAAGAAAATTAGGAGGCTGGAGGCTCAAACATATGAACAATGGTGGGGTTTGTCTAGTTTAGTAAAAGGAAGGACTAGTGGTGACATAACAGTTTTCCAATATTTGAGGGGCTGCTATAAAAAAGAGGTGATAAATCTATTTTTGTAGATAGATGATAGATAGATAGATAGATAGATAGAGATAGATAGATAGATAGATAGATAGATAGATAGATAGATAGATAAATAGATAGATAGAGATAGATAGATAGATAGATAGATAGATAGATAGATAGATAGATAGATAGATAATAGATGATAGATAGATAGATAGATAGATAGATAGATAGATAGATAGAGAGAGAGAGAGAGAGAGAGAATGATAGATGATAGACAGACAGACAAAAACTTGGATCATTTGACATTCCTACCTATGATGATCCTGCATGATGTGGTAATGCACCTTTTATAATTTCTATTGATTATGAAAATTGAATTAATAATCAGCTTGTGGTGGGATATGTACTATAGTAGATCACAGTTCCATACTTTAAGTAGCTATGTACCATAACTCTTTTTCTTTTTAATTATTCTTGACAGGTCAAAGCCAGAGGAAATGTGAGCAATGTCCTTGAAAAACTGCAACTCGATCTTTATAAATATTGCAAAAAAACAATAATTTTCACATTAGTATGGCACACCAATTGCAGAGAGCTTGAAGAATATAAATTGGATGCTTCCTAGAAGAATTGGAAAAGGTTAGAATTCATCATTCTAAACTGATTGGCTTTCTTAAAGAAAGAAAAAAAAACCAAGTGCATTGAATACAAAATACAATGTTAATTTTTAGATTCCTTCACTGTGAGTATCCTTTTTTGTTCAGAAAATATGTTTTACATAAATCCATGTCTAATGTAGCACCATCGCATCCTGGTGCTGAAGGGACCACAAAGATCTTCTTAGTCTAATCCTTTACAGAAGGCAGGAAGGCAAATTAAACTATCCATCAGAGGTGGTTGTCTAGACTCTTCTCAACAATTTCAGGAGATGATGGAGAACTTAGAGCCTCCATGGATAGATGGTTCCACATTTTACCATCAGAAGTCATTCCTTATTATTGAAATAAAGTTAGGTCAATACCACATATATCCCATATTTCTGACCCCAATTTGTATGGCAAAGAAAGATAATTCCTGAGCATTTTTCCTGCCTGAATGTGGAAATCATGTGTCCCTGCAGTCTTATTCTCTCCAGATTGAACATCTGGA